ACTTACAATGTTTTAAAGGTTTGCTCAGCTTTTTTCAATTCTAAATAAAAAATATGTTTATATTTGCAGAGAAGAAAAACGAAAACATAGAAGAAAAAAAAGACAATTTGAGCAAAAGCAATTGGAAAGCACAGAATGGCTAAGAAATCAAAATGAAACTCGAAAGTTCTACAGAAATCTAAACAAAATGCGCAAAGAGTTTAAGCCAAGAATAAGGAGCTGTAAGGACGCAGAAGGAAACATCCTAAATGATACGGCCTCAATCCTAAACAGATGGGTTGAATTTTTCGATGCAAAATTTAATGGCCATTATATCGAAGAAGCAGACAACACCCTAGCAAATCAAAATGATTGGAATCCTTTCAACCCAAACGAAAGACCACCTACCATCGAAAATGTTGTCCAAGCCATTAAAAAGCTTAAAAATAATAAATCACCAGGAGTTGATCAAATTTGCAGTGAGCTCTACAAGAATGGTGGCGATGCCCTACTACAGACACTACATAAGCTTTTACTTCTTGTTTGGCATAATGAGACCATGCCTTGTGAATGGTCTCAAGGCGTGATATGCCCGTTACATAAAAAAGGTGACCAGCTCCAGTGTGACAACTATAGAGGTATAACCCTGTTAACAACTGCTTACAAAATACTAGCAAATATTCTCTACGAAAGGTTGCAAGTTTACACAGTGGGCATAGTTGGTAAATATCAAGTTGGATTCACTCCAGAAAAATCAACAATTGACCAGATTCATTCAATAAGACAGATTCTCGAGAAAACATTAGAATTCAATATTGAAACCCATCACCTATTCGTCGACTTCAAGGCCGCATACGACAGTGTCAAGAGAACAGTGCTATACCAATCAATGCATGAGTTTGGTATACCAGAGAAACTTATCCGACTAACGAGAATGACAATGTCTAACTTAGAAGCCACTGTTAGAATACAGGGAGAGAGTTATAGATCCTTTGAGATAAAAGATGGACTCAGACAAGGAGATGCTCTGGCTTGCCTCCTATTTAATATTGCCTTAGAAAAGGCAGTCCGAGATACACGAATTAGGGATGGCGGTACTATTTACAATAGATCGGTACAAGTCTTAGCATATGCTGATGACATTGACATAGTAGGGCGTAGCAAGCGAGATGTTGAGCAATATCTCCTAGAATTGGAAACAGCGGCGAAACAGGTCGGTCTAGTCATCAACGAAGACAAAACCAAGTACATGTTGGTTACAAAGGATCCGATAGCAAATGACGAACGAGAAACAGTCTTTGGAAGTCATACCTTTGGACGTGTTGACAACTTCACATACCTTGGGTCGCTATTGACTGCTACCAATAAAACAAGCGAAGAAATCAAAAGACGAATAAATCTTACAAATAGGGCATACTATGGACTCCAAAAGCATTTCCACTCAAGAAACATTCAAAGAAGAACTAAAATTATTATATACAAAACATTGCTGAGGCCGGTCCTCACATATGGAGCAGAAACATGGACACTAACGCAGAAAGATGAAAGACTTTTGGGAATATTTGAGCGTAAAATACTCCGCAAAATATTTGGAGCTGTAAACGACCAAGGGCAGTGGCGCAGAAGATATAATTTTGAATTGTATCAGCTCTTCGATGAGCCAGATGTCATAACGTTCATTAAAACACAGCAACTTAGATGGGCTGGACACATAATACGAATGCCATAAAATACAATTGCTAAAAAGCTAACCACAGGAACACCTGTAGGAAAAAGAAGTAAAGGCCGACCGCGAATTAGGTGGTTAGATGGAGTAGAAACCGACTTACGAATATTAAAAATCAGGGCAACATGTTGCCAAAAACCGAACAGAATGGCGACGAATCTTAAAGCAGGCCAAGATCCACAGAGGATTGTCGAGCCAAAGATGATCATGATGATATTTGCATGTAAAAATGTAGTTTACTAGTAAAGTAAAGTAAAGTAAAGTAAAGTAGGTAATGTGATCGAAAAGGTAAGTTAAAAGAAGAAAGAGAAGACCAAGGAAAAATCGATAACCAGATCATATATACAGGGTGGTCCCTAAGTAATTGTACAAAAAGAAACCGTAGATTCTGCACTTAAAAATATTACGATTTGAGTCAACTTGCTTTAGTAAAATGTTTATATGAAAAAAGATACAGGGTGTTAAAGTGGAAATTTAAAATTTTATTTTTCGCTATAACTTTCCTGTTTGTTAACATTTATGTATAAAAATTGACAACTGGGTACTATTGAATATGAGAAATTATAACTTAATGCATACTTTGATATACCTGATAGAGGGCGCCACATATGCCACATATGTGGCATAAATTTGCACCTAACTTTTTTGCTCTTTAAGTTATCGATACTTTTGATAAAAAATATTAAAGATACATGATTTGAACATAAAAAAGGTATACTTGTTAATAACTTCAAAACTCAACAGTTTTTGAGATAATCGCATTTTACAAAACTAATGTGCCTTTAATATTTTGGAATACAAATAGGGCTAACTGAAAGAGCAAAAAAATTGAACGCAAATTTATGCCACATAGTGGCGCCCTCTATATGATACATCAAATTATGCATCAAATTGTAATTTCTCCTACCCAAAAGCATCCAATTGTAAATTTTTGTCTAAGTATAAATATTTACAAACGTGAGAGTTATAGCGAAAAATGAAATTTTAAATTTCCACTCTAACACCCTGTATCTTTCTTAATATCAACTTCTTACTTAAGCAAGTTAACTTAAATCGTCATATTTTAAAGTGTAGGATCTACAATTTCTTTTTGTGCAATTAGTTAAGGACCACCCTGTATAGGGATAGTATGTCATAAAATACATATACATAAATAAATACATTATAGACATAAATAAATAGATAAAAGAATTTTGGAAAGACCGGAAGAAATGAATAGGGGAGAATAGAAACGAAGAACATGCCTCCAATGCCTATGAAGGGCATGAGGAGTCTCTCTCAAAAAAATAAGAAGACACTGAACGGAATATGGTAAGCTTTCTTCAATCCTAAATCATGACTATGTTTATATTTGCAAGTAAAAATATAACTTATGTAGATAAATAAAAAACGCTTTATCAATATATAGACATATATTATATTATTATTAATTATATTCCAACATACCTTTATTACTTATATTATTATATTAATTACTATTTTAAATGACAAGGAACCACAATTTTAGTTAAAACTAACTTATATTTGACGATTTGATTCCCAGGATGAAAATAGATATCAAAACACAAATTAAAACACATTGTTTTTGATTTATTGCTTGGAAATAAAAACATATTTTTGATTATATACAAATGAACTATTGGTAACGCACCCAGTTGTTTTAGTCTAATAGGGTAAATATAACATAATGTCCCAACTCAGTGGCGCCACCAGATCATGTTAAATTCTTTCTCCTTCTGACCAAACCACAATTTCTGGTTATGCAACCAGTTGCCATAGTCTAATAGGTCACATTTACTTAGATGCCCCGTGACATACTTAGTCACTGGTGGAGCAACTTGGTGGCGCCATCAGTTGCCTAGTCTAATAGCGACCTAAGAAATATTCTAAGACCTACCAGAAATATTTGTGTGAATATGACAAACAATGAGGCTAAGAGTTGAATCTTGTACCACATTTAAAATTTCATTAGTGGTAGTTTCTCTTATTGTTCTGGTTTAATGTTATTGTATTAGTTATTGATAATGTATTAAAGAAATACACGAATATGTGTTAATATGTTGTATTTGGTTTTACATGAAAATAACGCCCCATATGAAAAAAGACGAGAGCTTTTTTGTCAAAAATTTAACAACGAAATCAAAAATGATTTGAAATATCTGTGATGTACCATTTAAAAAAAAAATAAATTTTAAATATAAAAAAAATTGGGACCATTACCTTATGCGCGCCAATGATGAATATAAAATTCTTAATTGTATGTCAAAAAATGCGCAATTACAGCCCCCCCAAATCCACCAAATTTCATTGGAATATCTCAACCGGTTTCAGAGCAATAAATAATCGTCAGTATGTAAGAAAAATTTCAACATCATCTTGTATCTTAGAAAACCAAACATTTGCGGACATGCGTTTATATGTCAAACTATAATTATTTTTCCATGCTGCAGAATCACCCCTTAAAGTTTGTAACACTTATTTACTAACACCCTGTATATATATATATATATATATATATATATATATATATATATATATATAAAGGTAAAAGGTATCGGCATAGCTCGCAACAAAGGAAAAAAAGTATAATAAAATATGTGTAGAAGATGGAAGGCAACTGTATATATGTATTTCTGACTGGGTCATCTTCAGTATGGTGCAGCCAAGTTAGAAAAGGAGCATATTAACTTGGGAAAGGATCACTACATAAGAAATGTGACCAATTTGTTGCAATGTTAGAAGAGGTTTCCAGATCAAAGTTTCTTCAGTAGTGATCCTTTCCCAAGTTAATATACTCCTTTTCTAACTTGGTTGCACCGTACTGACGCAGTGGCGCACACCCAGAGGGTTGGGTTTGCGAGTTAACCCCCCCCCCCCCCAAGGACCCTATTCCGACACTGACAAATATTAAGGACTCAAAATGGAGGTAGCACCATAAAAAAATTCGGTGCCCAACCAAACCCCTCCCCAGAGAGAAATTCTAGGTGCGCTACTGTATTGAAGACGACCAATAGTCAGAAATATGTATAAACGGTTGCCTTCCATCTTATACACATAATTTATTATATCTTTTTCCGTTGTTGCGAGCTATGCCGATACCTTTTACCTTTATTTTACTATCAACTTGCATTAACCTTTTTTCTTATATATATATATATATATATATATATATATATATATATATATATATATATAATATATATATATATATATATATATATATATATATATATAATATATATATATATACAAAGAATATAATTCCTAGAAGTACATGAAAATTTATTGTACTTACCAGAATCTTGCTTGTTTTAGTTGATGAATTTTCTGTAATTTCATTGATCACCGGTTTTGGACTAGCTGCACGTGAACTTTTCATTCTTGATAAGGCAATTCTTGAACTTCCTAATTTTGGACTTGCCACCTTAGTTTTTTGCAGTTTAGGGCTAGTTATTTTTGGGCTAGCTATTTTGGGGCTGGTCATTTTAGGGCTTCTAATCTTGGGACTCATTAATTTAGGAGTAGCCATCTTTGGAGTTGGCATTTTAGGGCTAGTAATTTTATTGTTGGTAAGCTTAGGACTTGCTATTTTAGGACTTGCTATTTTAGGACTTGCTATTTTAGGACTTGCTATTTTAGGACTCGTCAACTTTTTGTTAGTTAATTTTGGGCTGCTAAGTTTAGAATTTGATAATTTCGGACTTTTTGTCACTTGTATAGGCGTACTTTTTATTGATTTATTAAACACTTGTTTAGAAAGTGGTTCTGTTTGTTTAACTTTAGCATCACGAATAATTTCCTTTGAAGTATCATTAAGACCTATAGGTTCTTTAAAAAAAGAAAAATTTTCGAGGGTAAGCTCTTTATTATTTAACATTTCAGCAACCTCTCTTGTTGATCTTACTTTTTTACCTAGTGGTGTGTAATAGTAAATATCACCTTGCCTACCTTTGCTTTGATCATAAGTACCTCTCCAAACCAATTCTCTTTTCCATCCATACTTAAAGGGTTTTAAATATTTAGGATCAGATAGATCAGTATGGGACATTTTCACTCTTTTTACAACAGGGCTAGAATTTCCACTATAAGATGGGCTTTGCCAAGGTTCTTCCTTTATAGAAGTATCAGTATCATTGCCTGATTCCAAACTACCATTTTCTGTTGTATTGGAAACAGACTTTTTAATTGATGTTGGTGACATTAATATGTCACTATATCTTTTGTTTGGTATTCTAGCTCGTTTTCCCTTGCCCAAGGATTCTGACACACTGGTAGGGTATAAGTCCATATCCACTGGTTCTTCTGTAAAAAGCACATCTTTATTACGACTGGGTATAAAACTAAACTAAAAATAATATTTTTGTTATTTTTTTAAAACAAATTTCATCTTACTTGCCAAAAATTTTGAGCAATTGCTGAAATGATAACAATACTTAAATCATACTAAGACCTAAATATTTCAGCTATGGAGACAATAAATTCTACTTTACAAAATATTATATATCTACTAATACGAGAATAAACGTCAATCTTCTTCCATGTACCTTCTCCACTGTAAATATATTGACGAGACAATTAAATGTCAAAAACTGATGAGTCAAAAATTGGCCACTTTTAGATTTATGAATATTTGGGTTAAAAATTTTGTTCCGAATATTCTGCCAAAACCCCAGAAATTAAATCAGTCTGATCTCCTAAAATGTTTCAATGTCAAAACTTCATAACTCGACTTATTACTCAATTTGGAACTTTAGAAGGTTCCTTTAATTCAAGTTCTTTTAATTCAGTTTTATAAGTTCAGATGAAATTTTAATCAATAAAAAGTGTTTTTACTTTAATGGTATTGATTTATATTTATTAGTTTTTTACTTTGAAATATAAAGTGAACATGACAGTATAACCTCGAACAGAAAACTAGATTTTTCTTCATGAAGTGCTCTAATTCTGAGCCTGTCAAGCGAATTACGTGAATTCACGCTGGAGGTTATTCCCATTAAAATAGTATTTGCTTTATGATGCCATAAGAAAATAGTTTCAGAACAATACTGAAAATTGAGTCGGAGTGGCAATAATTAAGAACAGAGATTCTTAAACCTAGCATTCCAGATACTGCAACTATACTAAAAGGAAAATTCTATGCAATTTACCAAGCGATGTAAAATATACATGCAGCATCAAGTTTCTATGGGTCCCCAAGATCACATGTTGGAATAGCACAAAGCAGCGGACAATAATGCCAAAGAAAATATGAATGACAACAGTATCCCCATATCACCCCAATCTGTAAGAATGGATCTAAAAAGCTACTTCATAAATCACCTATGGCAACCCACCTGAGGTATCCAGACTAAAGCAAATAATTATTTATTTATAAAGTAAATAGTTTATGACTTGGACATACCCAGTTTCCTCATGAACATTTGTTTAAAAAAGAAGAACGCCCAATTTGTGATGAGTGCAGTTCACCCCTTACAGTAAAACATGTCCTAGTGGAAAAATGGGAAAGTTCAATTAAATATAGTAGAATTAAATACCATTTACAAACAATCTTACTGACATTTTAAATTCAAAAAACACTACAGATAACCAACTTTTGTTTTTAAAAGACTAAGCACTGTTAACGTTCCGCTAAAATCCTTATTATGTTAAAGCGGGTTTTTTGTAAATAAAAAAAAATATTAAGAGTATTTTTAACAGTCCAGAATTGCTGAATAGCATGAGTGACTGTTAGCACATTTCTATTGATGACAAAAAAAAACAGACTTCTTTGAAGTCCTAGAAAAAGTCTATACATTCCTTTCTCCTCCTTGTCTTAGTTCTTTTCTACTTTCTCACAATTTAGTAGGTTTGTTGATCTACAGGTTGTTTAATTTTCTTCATAACTGATATCAAAAGGTCATAATATGATTCATGGATTGAAAGACAATTATTATATTTTTAGTTAATATGTAATGAAAATTAACCACAATTGTAAGATTCTACTGTTTAAAACTATTTTATTTGACGTTTTTAACTTCCAGATTGGAAAAAAAATTCATTTATCCAAAATTCTAAACTTACAATTTTGTAATTAATTTTTAATATATATTACTTTGTTACAAAAGCAAAATGTCAAAAGTAAATAGTTTCAGAACAATTAACTATTACATTTATGGTATTTTGAAAAATTTAAATATACCTCCAACCTCAGAAAACATTTTTGCTTATATGGGTGAAGTACCACTTTAAAATCCAAGGCTTTGAAAAGGTAGATATGTTAGCCAAAAACAACATAGTAGAGAAAATCGAGAATTATAAAAATTGGATATATGAGGCTTGTTTAAGTAAAACAAATCTTTGGTACAGAAAAAAAATTATAAACAAATATATCTACAAATAATGACCACTACAATTAAGGCACATATCCCATTATTTCACAAATGGATGTATACCCTACTTCTAGAATTTATGTGACTGTTGCTCAAAAAACTCTTTTACAGGATTTTGTACTTCTTCATCCTATTGAAAATAATTACCTTTTAATGCCTTTTTAATTGCCCAAAGATGTGAAAATCACAAGGCGATAAATATGAACTATAGTGTGGATGCTCTAATATTTTCCATTTCTTAACATGAGCCCAAGCATCTTCATGCAAATGAATGATATCAACTGAGAACTTCCCTGGATGTTTTAGCCTTATTGCTTGATGGTTTAAAGTTTCATTATACAGGTTTGCATTGATATGCACTCTAGGTTCTGTAAACTCATATCAGCAAGGATCCCTCATGGTCAAAAAAATCTTAACATGACTTCTTAGTGGTGGAGAATATAAAATCAGCAGACCTCCTATGAGATGGACAGATGATCTGAAAAGAACTGCCGGGAAAAATTGGCTACAAGTAGCAATGGCTACAAGTACAATAAAAAACAATGGAAAGGAAGACTTGAAGAGGCTTATGTTCAGATGTGGATGTGAATGGCTAGACGAAGAAGAAGACTATTGTCTACGACTCTAGACTATTGTCTGACTATGATTGTTAATAACAAACGATATTTTTAGACTTTTAGTTTTGGTCACAATACTTAAAATACCAGTCAAGTACAAATGATGAAATTATTAAGTATAACATAACTAACATTGCAGAATGTCCATTAAGTGTGTTAACTCATAAATGAGTGTAAGTTAATACACTTGTTTTAATATTTCAAGTTTCATAGTTATCAAGAATTGTTTGTGCTCAAAACTAATAGAAAAAATGCTTCAATTCAACTAAAATATTTATTGCTCTGATAAGTTTCAGAAAACAACTCAAACTGATTACATGACGTGTTCTCAAAATGGACAGAGCAACATGCAGATTCTGCAAAATGCACAGAACATCTGAACATATATGCAACCAAATGGTAATTGCTTGTCAGGCCCATAAAAACATGTAACAATCATGTAATAAACATTGCTTTGAAACAAATATTCCTTTTGATATCTACAAATATACAGTGCATACTCTTAAGTACAGTATGTCAAAGTAACAATTTTAAAGTGTTTGTCCTTGTGTAGTGTGGTGTGATGTTTAATTTTATGTTAATAACATTTTATTCTTGTTGGATAGGCCTAAATTGTCGAAATGCTCCTGAAGATGCTCTAGCGAGTGAAAGTACTTGGACAAGAATAAATTAATAAAACTGTGCTCGATATCTGCCTTTTATTTGATCAAAGGTCATTTATTCGAGCATTCAACCTTATAAAAATTTAATGAAAAAAAAAGCTTACCTTTTACTAATACTAATGGTTCAAAATTTGGTTCACTTTTAGATTCCTTTTGAGTTGGTAATACCTTTGTTGTTTCAGTTTTATTTTCATTTTCTGTATTAACAATTTCAGATATTTTACGTTTCCTTCCTTTGGGTACTTTCTCCTTTGGATTTTCTATCCTTTCTGGAACATTTTTCACATTTTTTACTACTTCTTTACCATTATTTGCAGTCTCTTTGGCTTCTTCAGTTAAATTTTTATTGTTTTCAGTTGATGTAATTGTTTTGTCATCAGCAACTTTATTAACTGGTTCTGCAACATTTTCTTTTTCTTCAGTATCCATAGATTCTGTTTTTTGGGATACCTTTTCTTTTACTGGATTTTCTTTGGGTTCTTCTTCCATTTCACTCTCATTTTCCAAGATTTCTTTTTCAGATTCCTCAGGTTCTTTTTCTGCATTTTTAGGTCCCTCTTCAGCCTTTTTAGGTTCTGGTTCAGCTTCTTTATGTTCTTCTTCTTCACTTTGTTTTTCTGTTACTACAGCTTCTTTTTCTACTGCAGTAGCTTCTTTTTCATCTTTTACTGGTTCTAAAACAGAACAAGAATCTGGCATGAGTGTATGGACATTTTAATAAATTCAAAATAAATTTTAGAATGAACTATTTGAACATTCATACTGTTAGAAAATATATCATCTTAATTTTGTAGTAAATATGATTTCTGTAACATGATTTCTTTGTCCTCAACAAAATATTTAATTAAGCAACAATTAATGCAAATTTTGAATTCATGGGTATTGAATGCTCTTTTAGTCATAGTCATAACATATATTACTCTAGCAAATGAGCCAAAGTTTAAAAAAACAAGTGGAAATATACACAACATATTCTTAAAAAACTGAAATAGGTATGTATCCTTAACTGGAATGAGAAATAAGAAAGACACCATATGGGGCATCTGTAGCAAAAGTGTTAAAGATAGTAAATAATCTTTTGGAGTGGATAGAACTCAATGTCAATATGTCAGTACTTTCCAACCAGAAATAGATATTTTCAGATTCTGAAAATACTTAATAAAAAAACATATTAGAAGTCTCATCCAAGCAGCCTTTCTATATGGCATGTTTCCTCAATGATATTTTTCTTCCTTGTGCAGGTGTATTACATCAATGAATTACTTATTAGGGCTATTCTTTTGTTTTCTGATGTAGAACTAGTTCTAAAAAAGTGTCGAAGTGCTACACTAAGTTGTTCCTCTACAAGGTGAAGTGATACACCAGTCTATTCCACTGAAAAGTGTAACACTAGTGGAGATAAATCTACAGCTGCTTCTGAGACTGTGACTATCTACATTCGTTTTACTTGTTTTGTGCAATATCATCCAACAGTCTAAGAGTTTGACAACTGTTTAGCTGTCAGATGTGTTTATTTACAAAAAAATATTTAGATTAGTTTAAATTTAATTTTAAAAAATGCAAAATAGCATGCTTAGTCTATAAAACTTGACCCAGATGTGCCTGCCATACACTACACCACCATATTGTCCACCATAAACACATACACTTCTACATATGTGCGATTCTTTCTCTTGGTAACAGTCTAAATAATTTCAGTCAGTCAGAGACGTCTGTCTTTTGCGGCATGCAAAAGTGTTATTTATGCCTGTCCAGTTTTTTTATGTTCTGTAGCCACGACATTTGTTTGCGACCTACTCCTCTCTTACCTTCAATCTTTCCCTGGATGATTAGTTGAGGGATTGCATATTTTTTTCCTCTCAGAATATGGCTGAGGTATCCAATTTTTCGTACCTTGATCAAATTGAGTAGTTCTCTCCCAGTATTTGCCTTCCTCGTTTCTCACCCTATCTGTCCATGGTATGCGGAACATTCTTCGCAACATCCACATTTCGAAGGCCTCCAATTTATTAATGGAAGGTACTCTTAACGTCCATGTTTCCATGCCGTATAACAATATGGACCATACAAAGCATTTAACCATCCTGTAGCGGAGATTGAAGGAAAGATTGCAGTTACGTAGTACCAGTTTAAATTTGATAAAAGATTGTCTTGCTTATTCGGTATGGCATTTTATTTCTTGTTAAGGATCCCATTGGTCATTCATCATCATTCCCAAGTATTTAAATGTTTCCACTTGATCGATTGGAGCACCATCTTCTTGCAGTTATATTCTTAAAAGTGTGTTTTTCTTATTGCCATGCATTTAGTTTTTCCCTCATTTATATTCAAACCATATATTTTTCCTACGGTGTTTATTTTATTTAACATTAACTGCAAATCATGTTCGTTGTCTCTTATTATCGCGGTGTCGTCGGCGTAACGAATGTTATTTATCGTGAACCCGTGGTCCTTTATTCCACACTTAGACCCTTCCAGTGCCTCTGCAAAAATGTTCTCTACATAGAGATTGAAGAGCATAGGAGACAAAATACACCCTTGTCGCACCCCTCTTAAAATTTCAAATTCTTTTGTGTTGGTTGATTTGATCAGTCTCAGTCGTGCTTTTTGATTCCAATAGAGATTCTGGATAACTGTTATATCTTTCTCGTCAATGTTAGCGTTGAGTAGCATTTTTATCATTGCGTCATGTTTTACGGTGTCAAACGCTTTTTATGGCTTCCGTAGTAATTCCATCCGGTCCAGGGGCTTTGCCTAGTTTTGCTACTTTTAAAGCATACTCCACCTCGGCGCGAATAACGGGCGGGCCTGATAAATTTTCTGTGGGTAAGTTAGTAGCTGGCAGATTCAGTCTATTATCTGCAAAGAGGGAGGACGCATAGTTGCCTAGATTTTTCCTAGTTCTTCCTTGAACGTGTATGCGTATGAACGTAGTTTCCTTGTAAGGCCTTTACTTACTTACAAAAGTTAGAGATTACCATTTAGTCAGTATCATTTAGAAGACACATTGTAACACCTTTATTACAATAAAATAAGAAACTTGCTTACTATTCTTAAGGCTGTCCATCTGCCAATGAAAAATCTATCTGATTTGTGTCCTTATAGAGCAACAATAAAGTGTTCAAAATGCAATGTAAGCTTATGTGTCAAATGTTTTGTTTCATATACTACAAACAAACTTAATGGTAGGTTATATGCTTGGTGTACCATATTTTGTACCATATTTTTTTACTTATTTTGCATCAATATTATGTTTAAATAATAAATATATTTTTGTATCTTATATAATATGTAAATCTGGAGAAAAATATTTTACAGAAAGTTTTAGACATATCTGGGATAATACACATGTTATAATAAAATTTATGCATTATAGATAATGCAAAAAAGCAATAACCAGTTTTAAAGTCTAATTTAATTTTTATTCATTTGTTAATTCAGCATGTTTCAAATCCTGAATGTGTCAGATTAAAAGAACTTTACTGTATTCAATTTACATTTATATTTCAACCAAAATAAAAGCTTTTGTTAAAATCATTTAATTATTTTAAACATGTAGTAATGTCAGTATCATTATAACACCATTTAAAATTAGCTGTTCACACCCACAGATATATAATACAAGATATTATTATATACTGATTGCTGCAATATAGTAACATTCCCCCAGTGCAACAGAGAAAACTGACGCAAAGCAGTCCCTGCATCTTTATCTAATTGGCCAGGTTTATCAACCACGTGACCTCCTCATTGGTCATTTAGGTCACATGGTTGATAAGCCTGGCCAGGGACTGCTTTGCATCAGTTTTCTCTTCGCACTGGGGGAACGGGCTGGTTTTGCAATGATCCATCTATCTTGTATTATATGTCTATGTTCACACCAGAAGTTATAAAAATATTTTCTAATTAATTTTGGAAGTGTATAAGATAGTATTGAACAAAAGTATAAATATATGAAGATAAATAAAAAAAACATATAATATGAGAAATGAACATGAGAAAAGACATCTATATCAAAGTTGCTGAAACCAAATAAACAAATCAATCTGTGTAAACAACAATAACATATTGGGCCTACCCATAGTAGATAATTTCATAGATAGGTTTGGCAAAAATTGGGGAAGGTCAGACTTGTAGGGCAGAAGGGAGATTGTATGAATTTTGTAAAGAAAACAATATGATCATTGCAAACACGCCTGGTATAAACTACCCAAGCGATGACTATACACTTGGAAAGCCCCATTCCCCCCCCCCCCCATAAACATAAAACATAACATTAAAAAAGAATTTAACAATAGAATAAAAAACATCGGAGAACAACTAGAAGATCCAGAAGACCTATGGAGTGAATTTAAAAACCAAGTTAACGAAATTCCCACAAACAATGATTATAGAAAAAACTTAATCAAGAAAAATAAATGGATGACAGATAACATCTTGAAATTAATGGAACAATGTCGACTGATAAAATCTAATGTAACAGAATATAGACACCTGCAGAGAAGAATAAAAAAGGAGATCAAATTAGCCAAAGAAAAATGGATGAGAGAAAGGTGCGACAAAATGGAGGATGTAATATATACACATGACTTATTTAATGTGCACAAAAAACTGAAAGAAATGATTAATATATTTAAAAAACGAGTTCCCTCTGTACTTGTTGACAATACTAACAAAATTATTGTAAATGAGCACGAAATAAGAAAAGAATGGCAGCTGTATATATCAGAGTTGTTTGAAGATGACAGGACTAATATTGCTGAATTCTACCAAAATTGTACTGACAGCCCAGAAATTATGAAATGCGAAGTAGAACATGCTATAAATAATGTTAAAATTAGAAAAGCTTGTGGTCCAGATGATACACCAACTGAGTTGCTGAAACTAATAGAGAATGATAACATAAAAGTAGTAGTAAGACTTTTTAATTCAATATATAACACCAGAGTGATTGATTGTGAAAAAACACAATGCAAGAAAATGCTCAGTGGACTTCGAAAAGGCATTTGATAAAGTACAACATGTAAAATTAATGCAAATACTGAAAAATATCGGAATAGATGACAAGGATATTCGTGTCATTAAAAATTTGTACTGGAATCAAACTGCTATCGTAAAAATTGGAGATAACTATACCGATGAAATCCCCATACAACAAGGAGTCAGACAAGGTTGCATTTTATCGCCAACATTGTTCAATATCTACTCGGACTAGCTATTTTAAAAGGCACTTGAGAGATAATCATATGGAATAAAAATCAATAGGGAACTACTTAATGTGATTCGATATGCAGACAATACAATAATTATATCCGATAATATTGAAGGTCGGTTGAGTTTACCGAAAGTACAAGCTGATAATAGCCACAAATGTCAATCGTGGAACAAAAAATTTCGGTATAGCAGTTTTGGCATGTTTTTATAATGTAGATGCTGTATACTTCAAACATAAAAAGATAAAGCTATAGAAAAGTACATTTTGTTTATATTATGTTATGAATTCTGCAATTTTTGATTTATATAAAACAACAATGAGTAAATATTTGTTTCTTTGGAGATTTATTGTTAATTATTTACAGTTAATTATCAGAAATTTTTTTTAGCAATTACCCTTTGATAGATTAGGGGATAGATTTGGCAATCGTCAAACCAGCAGTTGCCAGATTACAAAAGAGGTTTGCAATTAATCTCAAAAGAGACAAATATCTACTAGTTATTGCTTCATATAAATTAAAAATTGCATAATTCATAAAATAGTATAATCAAAATGTACTTTTTAAAAGCTTTATCTCTTTATATTTCAAGCATACAACATATGGGTTATAAAAACATGCCAGCACTGCCAAACCGAAATATTTTTTGACATTTGTGGCTATATTCAGCTTGTACTTTCAGTAAACTACACCTGAAGGTCTTCAAATTCTGCTTAATCATATTCATGAGGTAGGAGAGGAAATGGGCATTAAAATAAACTCAAACAAAACCAAATTTTTAGTGTTTAGTCGTGACCCACATGCTGATGCAAAGCTTGAAATTGAATGGAGCCCAAGTTGACAAAATGCTTTTATGCTAAAACTACTTTTATGAAAATGAAGTCATTTCTTTGTAATAACCATCTCAGTTTAGAGCTAAGGCAAAGAATGGTTAAGTGCTATGTTTGGTCTGTACTTTTGTATAGTACAGAAGTGTGGATGCTATCAATCATGGACAAAATTGAAGCATTGGAAATGTGAGTTCATAGATGAATGCTGAAGATACCTTGGACAGCAAGAAAACTAATGAAGAAGTACTAAGGAGCGTCAACAAAGATAGAGAACTGCTAAAGACTGTTAAATCTGGGACATTTACTAAGGGAAGTTGATATAAAATATTACAACTGATCCTCAAAGGCAAAATATAGGGTCGTAGAGGTGTGAGTAGAAAGCAAGTTTCTTGGTTAAAAAACATTCGTGAATGGATTCAGATACCTAATGCAGTTGAATTATTCCATATTGCAGAAAATCGAGAAGCCTTTGCAATGGTGATCGCCAACATCGGATAATTCTGATATGGCACGCAAAGAAGGTTTGGCATTTACGATTTTTAAAGGATGAAATTACTGTTAGTATTTATCTCTCAATTCCATTTGCATTAAATTGGATAGTAGTCTTTTTGATTTTATGTTATTGTTTAAGCACTTATTATAAATTTATTATAGTAGAAGAATTCTAAATATTCTAGATTGAGAACAAAGATACATTTAGGTACAGGATATTAATATTACAAAAAATACATTTAAAATACACATATGGAATAATTGTTGACCCTTTTTATAGTTAATAGGAAATAACTAAGCAGTATATTTACTAAATGAACAAGGAAAAGATAACACAACATCCCTTACAAATCATATTGTGACTAATCTACAAGTATATACCATAATACCTACCATCTATTGATGTTTCTTTATCTATTTCAGTATCATCTCCATTTAAATTTGGCGCCGTTTCCTCCTTTGAGACTTGAGTCTCAGATTCAGGTTCTGAATTAGTAGAAGTTTTGGATTTTTCGGATAACTTTTTATTTGGTTCCATATCTACTACTTACATTTATTATACTAATCAGATATGTTTCCTAAAAGTCAACCTTAAAGGTCCATTTATAAAAATTAGGTATGTATATCAAAAACGCGTCACTGAACTAGAATTAAAAAATGACAACGGTTCCTATCATGGGGCATAAAACCACTCTACAATGTATGAAGATTGCCACTGGCCACTGATATTATAATTCTAAAAGATACTTAGATTTTATTTTAAAAACAAATTGTCCATATAAACTGCTCTTATACACACGCATTTTACAAAACGCTTGTCAAGCTAAGATGGCAGGATCATCGCATTGACACTTTCTGTCGAAAAAAACCGCCAAAATATGAAACATCATACTATTTCTGATTGCCACATACATTAGAAGAAGATGTCATATACAACACAAAATCTGAGGATTTAAAGGATGTTAAATCAATGTCAATTTTTGAACATAACTCTGATAACATATGAATTTGACAATAATAAACATAGATAAAATTTATAGATTGGTAACAGGGATAGGCAATGTCAAATCACGTTCGGATTTAGGCGCCCATTCGTTTGGTGGCGCTGCTAGTCTCGTTTCTACGCGTAGGGAGTGTGCTGTGGTCAAATCAAAAGTTGAATTTAGACAAATACGGCGCCATATTTTTATTTGTTTTATTTTTTATAATTTATTTTATAGTTTAAATTTTTTTATATAAGTAGTGCAAAAAGGTAAAATTTTAGACGATTTTTTATTATGGAATCGAACACATTACATGGAATAACAATATAGTGACGAAGAACTGAACAAAAAAGATGTATTCCAGATTGCATGGATACTAGGCAAGCACACTACCGCTGGCAAGCAATACCGTTTTTCAAGTCCAGGAGATTATAATATGGATATGTTTGATAAATGGGTGAATGCTGTTAAAAGCCCTAATTAGAGAATGCTGTAACAGAAACTATTTATAACAATTTTCGTGTATGCGCTAGTCATTTTAAAGAGGATGATATAATTAATGTTGGACATACCGGTATTACGAGAACAGCCCTTCTGAGTTTGTTTTTACCAGCACCAGGTAAGAACTATTATGCCAATATATGTATGTATGTGACCTTTTACTTATAAAATTAGTTAATTATAAATTTAACCTAATTATAAAATCAGACTTACTTGCTTACTATTTGAATTATTTTGTAGGTGGTGGTTCAACAACTATCTTAAAAAATCATCACCTTAGAGAGGGTTCGACATAATTTCTACAGGTGTGCCTGTTTCAAAGTTGGATTAGATTAGCAGACCATGACTACACTATCATATGGAGAGGTCCATGAGTTTGCCGTTAAGTGCGAGGAGGGATCTGTCTCTCTCTTGTGAGTGAGATTGGTCTTAGAGTACCATATATTATCATGGTTTGTCTCATCTATGTACTTTTAATCAAAAGAACAACCTAAATCTAAATGTATTTAATATGTCTCTCAATAAATATATAAATATTAGTAGAAAAGAGTTACTGGTAAGATAGAGTTTGGAAACGTAACTTTGTAAAATACTTCATATTATTATTGTAACTAGGTAATACTTTACATATTTTTGTATTTTTAATGTTATTTTTCCATCTTTATAGTGCTGGATCTTAGAATCTTAGAGCTAACTGTTGGGTTTATAGGTTTAAATATGACTAAAATATTATCATATAAATGTATATAAAGTTCTTTCTAGAACTAAATCATTTAATTTTTCTGTTTCCAACTTAGCAGAGTTCTTGAGTTCTGTTTTTCTGTGAGTAGAACGCCAGACAGTAAGAGTTCTCACTGACCACTGGTAGTGTGTGTTATTAGATTAGGATGTAAGTACTACAAAGAACTCAGAATGTCTGACAGCTGTCTGTTGCTTATTAGGCTTTAATTTGACATTAGAATTCCAAAAAAATTATTTAATTACTGACAAGTTCTTGTCACAAGATTTAGAACACTAAATTATACTACATTTACCCTTCCCTATTTGTGAACAAAATATTGCAACTATCTTGGTTTATTTTTAGCTCCAGCTGATTTACAGCTAGATTGAAAATCTGAATTTTCCAATCTTGGTTCATAATTATCATCAGGTTTTTGAACAGGTAAATTTTCTGTCACATCTGGCATTGATTTAGTAGTGGAATTCTCTAATGTGTTATTTGGACTTCATCTTCATCATTATCGTGATTCAATAATATAACAATTCAATAGTAAACTTCTTATATAGTACAGAGCTCCTAGTAAAGCAGTTTTTCATTTAGTGATGTCTAAATATTTGGTTTTCAATGCTAGATTCACCAATTTCTATATAACTCATTGTATCTTTCAACTTAACCATTTCCTTCATGGTTATATGGTGTTGTTCTACTTGAAATATTCCTTTAGAGTGGAGATAATTAATAAATTCTTGTGAAGTAAAGCTAGTTCTCCTTGTCAGATTTTATATATGCCAGCATTCTATATAAACAAAATAGTGATTTAATCTGTGATTGGTTTGAATTGCTTTCCTACCAGATAATGTCTGCATTTTTTTAATACTTCAATGCATTTGCATGTTTTCATTCTGAATCTGTGAGAGTATGTGTGAAAAAAGCAATTGGTTTTCCCCATTGATTGCTTCGCTTATGTAATTATAGACTAAATTTATTATAAGCATGTACTTATTTTGTCTTCTAGGGATTTATCTTTAGATTCATTGCTTTCTAAAAAAATCTTGAATGTTATATACCAATGTTTGAATTCTTTGCAAATTTTGAGAATAAAATTGTAGTAAAAGGCCTTTTGCAGAATTAGGCTTCTATTTACATAAAACTTGACATACTAAGACAAAACAATTATTTAAATACTGACCAGTTCTTGCCACAACATTAAGAAAACTAAATTATAGTACACTTGGCTTGTATTATTAATATTTCTTGTAACACATATAACATTTCTTGTAATATTTTTATAAATAAAGATTTTATTCTATATTTTATTCTTTAATTTTTTGACCACTTTGGCATTTTAATGTAATGTAAAATAAATATAGTCTCAACATAACAAGAAAACCCAAAAAGTATACGAAAAATATTTATTATCGTATAGGATAAGGATTTTTCTTGTTATTTTAAGATTATATCGATTTTCCTTTACTTTAAAATGAGTTCACAATCCTAGGTAATATTACAAAAATTTTGAATTTCGCGCCATGTATTTATAGTTAGGCGCCCGGTCACTAGGTGATGCGCCAATCATTGTTTTACTCGTCAACACGGAAGTTTCAATGCTAGGTGGTAGTGTGCTATGATAATAAACATGGTCGTCAACTCACATGATATTTATAAATATTTTGAATATATATCTACAGTCAACGACGTATAATATATATTATTGTATACAGTGCACTTTGTACTAATCAGTGAATCTTTAGAATTTAGAATTATAAAACCTTAGTTTGTAACTTGGTAACATTCAACTTGATTCAACACAGGACGAGTATGAAAATGTCTGCAAGGAGTAAGGCAACCGATTCGTTTTGAGACCTACTAACTAACGTATATATTTAAAAAGCTCAAGTATTTCAATAAGTTATATTTCGTTTAAAATACGAATATTATGGTTGATATGTGCATTATGTGATCCACATCCAAATGTTTTTTATTTGCAAAAAAACAGGCTTTAACACGTTCGCTGCGTATCTGGAAATGGATACGTCACTACCGAACTGAAGTATATTTTAACTGTTTTTTATAATGTTAACTTAAGAGAATAAATAAAATAAAAAAAAAAATAAAAAATATATCTTAAGATTTACCTGTCATAAATTGACATGTCGCCCATCGGCGACATCGGCGCTGATCGACAAAGTTACATCTGCCGTGCTAATAATGTCGCCTATGAGCGACACTTACATTTTAGTAGTAAAACGATCGTAACATCGTAGGTGATGGTCAAACCTAACATCTTCTACTCAATTCTACTCTTTCACCGTGACTTACATTTTAGCCAAAATAAAAAATTTGGAACATTTTAAAATTATTTATTTGTATTACAAAATAAACAAAACATATATTATTAATATTGTAAATTAAACTACAGTCATAAAATAACTCGAACAACAAAAATAACTAACAAAGAACAAAAAATATAACCTTTGTATTACACAAAAATTAAAAGTCGGTACTCTACAAAATTCTTAAAACAACTTCGAAAAATAAAAATATATGAAACAGAACAAAAAATATATATATATCTTAGTATTGCACAAAAATAAAACGTTCTCTACAAATTTTTGTGGTACTTAACAAAGCAATCAGATATACACAACCCAGGTTTGTCAATACACGTTTCACAATGAAAAAGTGTTTCTTTTCTAACTTTATTTTTGTGACAATTTTTGCATCTTTTTCTAATAATTTTACCCGAGGCATTGGTTGCGGATAATTTTGTGGGAAAATGTTTCGATATTTTAGATTTAGAGCGCAGAATTGGTTCTGACGTCTCCGGGAGCAATGCTGCTATAATCTGTAGTCTAAAGTTATAAAAATCTAACTTATTTCCAGAAAATTTATTGAAAAGTAAAAAAGCATTTAGCAGAATAATCTGAAACATATGAATGGCCAATTTTTTATACCACCTTATTGTTTTATGAGTAGTTGGGTAATAGGCTATCATATTGATCTTGACGATCGATGCCACTCATAAACTTGTTGTACTGTAGCATTGGACGAGGCTTTAATATTTCTTCTCCCCTTTTAGTTTTAATTTTTTTCTAAGCAGTTTTCATGTTCTGAATTTTGCAATCATTACGTTGTCTGCATATGTTGCAATGGTGTCTCCCTTAGAAAGTTTAGCCTTTTTTTACCTCTTCAGAATTATTTTTTCTATCCAATCGGAGCGTCCCAGTACAATATGTATCTGATGCTAATAACTTTTTTGCTAATGAATAACTATTATAGAAATTATCCATATAGACTGAATGTCCATTATTCAATTTTTCTTTTAGCAGGTGTAACACCACTTTTTCTGTGTGTCCTTTTTCACCCATATCATCCAACTGGCCAGTATAAACAAGAAATTTAAGAACTATTCTGTGTGGTTCCGTTAGAATGTAAAGTTTTATGCTGTACTTCTGTCTTTTGTTCTTAATATATTAGCGGAAAACTAGCCGCCCTCGTCAAAGGACCATATATTCGTCTAGCGAAAGTTCTTTACTAGGGTAATATACTTCGCACATTTTTTGTTAAAATAATCTATTAGACCGCGTATTTTGTACAAACGATCTTCAGGTTTAATTTCAGAAGAGTCTGGATTTTTTACG